TTTTTTTTTTTTTTTTTTTTTTTTTCTCCCGAGATGGAGTTTGCTCTTGTTTCCCAGGCTGGAGTGTAATGGAAAGATTTCGGCTCACCGCAACCTCCGCTCCCCCATCCAGGTTCAAGTAATTCTCCTGCCACAGCCTCCCGAGTAGCTGGGATTATAGGCATTCGCCACCACGCCCGGCTCATTTTGTATTTAGTAGAGACGGGGTTTCTCCATGTTGGTCAGGCTGGTGTCGAACTCCCAACCTCAGGTGATCCACCTGTCCCAAAGTGCTGGGATGACAGGCGTGAGCCACCGCGCCCAGCCAAGCCCCTGCCTGTTTTTATTTTAGATCTCACTATGTTGCCCAGGCTGACCGCGAACTCCTGGGCACAAGCAATGCAATTCTTCTGCCTTGGCCTCCCTATGTGCTGGGATTATAGGCATGAGCCACCTGCCTGGCCTCATCCTGCCCTCTCAATCCCCCTTACCCTGCTCCACTTTCTTCCCCCAGAGCATTAACCACCAGCTATCATGTAATTTACAGGGTTTTTTTGTTTGTTTGGCTACCTGTTCCCCCTACTAGAATATAAACTCTACAATAATAGAATCTTTATATTTTTTTCCTCTGCTGAATTCCTAATGCCCAGATTTGTGCTTGGCACATAATATGTGCTTCATTAAAGGAAGGAGGCCAGTGTTGCTGAAGCTGCATGAGCAAAGGTCAGAGTGGTAGATGAGGCTGGAGAGGAAAAGGGGGTTGAGGGAGCATCAGGTCCTGTAGAGCCTTTAGACTGTGGTAGAGTCTTTGCTTTTTTTCTGAGTGCTTTTGTAGCGATTTGAGGAAAGGAGTGACTTGGTATGAATGACTTTATTATGTACCCACGTGGAGGTGTCAAATAGGCAATTAGATATTGTGTTGCAGGTCCCCAAGTTGATTGATTCACTAAGAGGGTTCAAAGGACTCAGCATATAGTTATACTCAGCTGTGATTTATTATCGCAAAAGGCTACAAAGCAAAATAAGCAAGGGGAAAAGATGTATGGGACAAAGTCTGGAGGAAACCAGGTGTAGTCTTCTAAGAGTCCTCTCCTAGTGGAGTCACATGGTGTATGTTTAATTCTTGCAGCATCAAATTATGACAAGATGTGAGAGATGTCTATCAGGAAAGCTCATACAGCTTTTTCCAATAAAAAGTCACAGAGGCACTGCTTAGAATGCGCCAAAATTTCAGCCTCCCAGAAAACGCAGGTGTTCAGAATCAATCACATCGTTTGTACAGTTTCAGCACAGTGAGCCACTCTTATGCATCTGGGAGTTGTGGGAACCCTCATGAAGTTCAAGTTCCCAAACACTAGCCAAGGGCCAACTTTGCAAGCAGATGTTTCTAAGGATAGCAATCTCAGGCCTGTTAACTCTTTTCTGCACAGATGTGTGAGTCCGGAATTTGGGAGAAAGTTCTGGAATGAGGATATGGATTAGGATGTAGTTGGCATATACGTGGTATTTAAAGCCACAGAAATGACTGGTGTCTTGATAATGCATTTGTTAGAACTAATTGGGTACACTTAAGAGTTGAGCTGCATAAAAATGTAGAAGAGAAGAGCCCTGGGCCCCTCCAACTTTAAGATGTTAAGGAGGGCCAGGTGCAGTGACTCACGCCGGTAATCGCAGCACTTTGGGAGGCTGAGGCACACAGATCACTTGAGGTCAGGAGTTCTAGACCAGCCTGGCCAACATGATAAAACCCCGTCTCTACTAAAAATACAAAAATTAGCCTGGTGTGGTGGTGGGTGCCTATAATCCCAGCTACTCTGGAGACTAAGGTGGGAGAATATGGCTTGAACCTGGGAGGCACAGGTTGCAGTGAGCTGAGGTCGCACCACTGCACTCCAGCCTGAACAACACAGGGAGAAGAGAAGGAGGCAGCAAAGGAGTCTTTTTTTACCTTTTTCTTTTATTTATTTATTTTTTTTGAGATAAGTTTTGCTCTTGTTGCCCAGCCTGGAGTGCAATGGCTTAATCTCGGCTCACTGCAGCCTCTGCCTCCCAGATTCAAGTGATTCTCCTGCCTCAGCCTCCCGAGTAGCTGGGATTACGAGTGTTGCTGAGAAGTCAATTAAGATGAGGACTCACATGACCTTTTGGATTTAGAAAATGAAAGGAGTAGAATTGAGGAGAGTTAGACAACCATTTTGAGGAATTTTATAGTAAAGAAGAGCAAGATCAGGAGGTTGAGGCAGGAGAATCCCTTGAACCTGGGAAACAGAGGTTGCAGTGAGCCGAGATCAAGCACTCCAGCCTGGGCAACAGAGGGAGACTCAGTCCCAAAAAAAAAAAAAAAAAAAAATGTGGTAGCTGAGGAGTAGTGGAGGCGAGAGGTTTGTGTAATCACCTGCTTCTGAATGAAAGAAAAGGAACAGCATCCTGCCTTTTACTATAGCCACCCCCATGTTCACTTATTTCCTCGTGTATGCCAGGTGCCTGGTATAAAGCACACAGTCCTTGTCATCAGGGAACTGCCATTTAAGTGGAATGTGGGCAAGTAAACTGACTGCCAGACCACACATGTGAAAGCAGGTCTAGGGGAGGCTGAGCATCCTTGAATGAGAAAAATTAACAGCATGCCAATGGAATGGCCCATTAGAAAGCAAAAGAATCACTGTTGTAACTTGATGTTTCCCCATAGCTCAGTTTTAGGCCACCTTTGCTGTCAGAACTTTGTAGGCATCCTTGCTCTGAGCTCCGGCTGGTGCAGCCCTCAGCCTCTCCTGGACCTGCTTTCACATGGGTGCCCTGGCAGTCAGTTACTTGCCCACATTCCACTTAAATGGCAGCTCTCTGACGATAAGGACTGTGTGTTTTATATTAAGCCTACCGAGGCACTTGTGAGCAAATGAATGAATCTGGGGGTGGTTACAGTGATGAGCAGGATGCTCATTTCATTTGTAGAAATTGAATCTGCAGCCATTCACTGATGTATGTCCTGAGCAGAGGAGTGAAGAACAGGGCACTGTGTAGGCGCTATCACTACCCTTAGAGTTTAGGAGATAATTTGTGACCTAATTCAAAAGTAACTAAAAACATAATAGTGTTGGTGCAACCAGAGTATGGAAAAGGACGTGTGGGGCATGACTTGGTAGAGGAGGTTGGGGCTTATGTGGATTCTGGAGAAAGAGGACGCGGTGACAAAAAAACAAGAATTTTTCAGTAGTAAATATTTTTTTCTTTTTCTTTTTTTTTTTTTTGAGATGGAGTTTTGTTGGCCAGGCTGGAGTGCAATGGCATGATCCTGGCTCACTGTGATGTCCACCTCTTGGGTCCAAGCAATTCTTCTGCCTCAGCCTTCCGAGTAGTTGAGATTACAGGTGAATGCTACCATACCCAGCTAATTTTTGTATTGCTAGTAGAGATGGGGTCTCAACATGTCAGCCAGGCTGATCTCAAACTCCTGACCTCAGGTTATCCACCCACCTCAGCCTCCCAAAGTGCTAGAATTACAGGCATGAACCACCACACCCGGCATTTTTTATTTTCTTTTTTCAAATGAACTGTAAGCCCAGTATTCTCCAGTGCTGCTTCAGTTGAAGAGCTAGATGTCTGGTTAGCTTTCTTCTCTGGCACCCCACTTCCAACTCAGGGCTCGCTCCTCTGACCAGTTTCAAAGTTCTGAGGCAGAATCTGGGTCCTCAGGTTCCTCCCTTGTGACCCTGAATGTCCATTGCCAACATCTACGAATGGTTGTCATCTCCAGCAAGAATTAGGTTAATGTGTTTTCTCAATTTTATGTTTTTAATGAATTTTTTCTAAGCTTCCAACATTTGCCAATGTTTTCCTGCTACAAAGTTAAGCTGATCACAGTGAGAGGTAGTGAGTAGCTAATAAACACAAGGGAATAATTGGCTTGACATTTTGGTATGTTTGTTGAATTTACAAGTGCATCTGATTTTAAATAGTTATTTTCTGCTAGGAAAGGTTTCCTGATGCAGGTAAATCTAACTCTACTTGTGACATGGACAGAGAGCCACATCATACCTAGGCATTCCTCAAAGTAAACAGTGGTGTGGTATAAAGCTAGGACTTTTTTCCAAGGGCAGGAAAAGAGTGTAAAAAAGATATTTCAAAAATAAAAATAAAACTAGGACTTATGGATGGGGAATGTGGACAGCCAGAGTCTGACACAGAAACAGGACTTCCCACCCCTCGCCGTGGGGGCATCCCTCCCCCAGGTGTCTTCCCTTAGGATTTCTTCTAAGTTGGGGCAACTGTTCCCCTTACTCTTCTGACCCTGAAAACTGTCTCTTCTCTCTGGTATTGCACTAGATGGTGAGTTTTTTGTTTTGTTTTGTTTTGTTTTTTTGGTAGTGAGTTTTTATTGAAGAAAATAAGAAAATAGATGATGTGGAAGAAACAGCACTTAACTTGGAGTCAGAAGACTGATGGACAGTTCAGCTTGGTAGTAATGAGTCTAGGCTTTGGATGCCTGAATTTAAATCCACTTAGTATCTGTGTGACCCTGTAACAGAGATGGGCTTTTGCAAGGAATATGTGAGTTAACATGTATAGAGCAATGCCTGGCCAACAGTAAAAACAGTGAGCCTTAAGAAGACTTATCTTGGGATCCCAGCCCTGTCATTTACTAGCTGCGCCACTTAGCTTATTCTTAAATTGCTTCAACTCTCATTTGTACTCATCTGTAAAATGAGGGAACTGCACAAAGTCATCCCTCAGAGGCTGCTTTTTTTTTTTTTAAACGGAGTTTTGGTCTTGTTGCCCAGACTGGAGTGCAGTGGCATGATCTCGGCTCACTGCAACATCCATCTGCCTCCTGGGTTCAAGCGATTCTCCTGCCTCAGCCTCCCTAGTAGCTGGGATTACAAGTACTACCACGCCTAGCTAATTTTTTGTATTTTTAGTGGAGATGGGGTTTCACCATGTTGGCTAAGCTGGTCTCGAACTCCTGACCTCAGATGATCCACCCGCCTCATTCTCCCAAAGTGCTGGGATTACAGGTGTGAGCCACCACACCCAGCAAGGCTGCCCTTTTCATCTCTGCAGATACATATGGCTCTGTAAGGGGAGTATTATCAGTTGGGGTGGAACATGCAGCCAGGACCTGAGCTCCAAGGTCTACAGTAAACACATTTTACATGACAACTCAATGTGTGTGTAATTGTAGGAAAAGATTCATGAAATAATATTTACTTTTGCTATATGTAATACACTGTAATATTTTCTATATTCTTCAATGCTAGTTCTTAAAAAGTAAAACTTTTTTTTTTTTTTTTTTTTTTTTTTTTTGAGTCGGAGTTTTGTTCTTTTTGTCCAGGCTGGAGTGCAGTGGCGTAATCTCAGCTCACTGCAAACTCCGCCTCCCAGGTTCAAGCGATCTCCTGCCTTAGCTTCCCAAGTAGCCAGGATTACAGGTGCCCACCACCATACCCAGCTAATTTTTGTATTTTTAGCTGAGATGGGGTTTCACCACTTTGGCCAGGCTGGTCTTGAACTCCTGACCTTAGGTGATCTGCCTGTCTCAGCCTCCCAAAGTGTTGGAATTATAGGCGTGAGCCACCACACCCAACAAAAAAAAGTAAAACTTTTAATAATGATTCTGGAACGTAGGACCAACACAGACTTCCTGAGGGTGATGTTAGAGAGCTCTGGCCACCTATGACTAACCTTTCTGTGTGTTTTGGGTGGTTGGGAAAATATGAGAGGCTGTGCTCATGAGTTAATTATTTTTCTTCAAATTTTACATTGTGAAGGATCTATGCCAAAATCTTACAGTGGTTAACATAGGGTGGACTATGGCTGGTTAATTTACTTTTTTTTTTTTTGAGATGGAGTTTCACCATTAGCCAGGCTTGGTGGCATGCGTATGTAGTCCCAGCTACTCAGGAGGCTGAGGCAGGAGAATTGCTTGAACCTGGGAGATGGAGGTTGCAGTGAGCTGAGATTGCACCATTGCACTCCAGCCTGGGTGACAGAGTGAGACTCTGTCTCAAAAAAAGAAGGCTGGGTGTGGTGGCTCACACCTGTAATCCCAGCACTTTGGGAGGCTGAGGCAGGCGGATCATGAGGTCAGGAGTTTGAGACCAGCCTGGCCAACATGGTGAAACCCCGTCTCTACTAAAAATACAAAAAAAATTAGACATGGTGGCACATGTCTGTAATTCCAGCTACTCGGGGCTGAGGCAAGAGAATCCCTTGAACCAGGAAGGCGGAGGTTACAGTGAGCTGAGATCGTGCCGTTGCACTCCAGCCTGGGCAACAGGAGGGAAACTCTGTCTCAGAAAACAAACAAGCAAACCCCTCCCCCGCCCCCACAAAACCAAGAAACCTTTCAGTGCCACAGAAAATAGACTACAGAATGCAATAAGAATATCTCAGGCCGGGCACGGTGGCTCAAGCCTGTAATCCCAGCACTTTGGGAGGCCAAGGCGGGTGGATCACGAGGTCAAGAGATCGAGACCATCCTGGTCAACACAGTGAAACCCCGTCTCTACTAAAAATACAAAAAAAAATTAGCTGGGCATGGTGGCACGTGCCTGTAATCCCAGCGACTCAGGAGGCTAAGGCAGGAGAATTGCCTGAACCCAGGAGGCGGAGGTTGCGGTGAGCCGAGATCGCGCCATTGCACTCCAGCCTGGGTAACAAGAGCGAAACTCCGGCCCAAAAAAAAAAAAAAAAAAAAAGAATATCTCTGCCTCGGCCAGGCATGGTGGCTCAGGCCTATAATCCCAGCACTTTGGGAGGCCAAGGCGGATGGATCACCTGAGATCGGGAGCTTGAGACCAGCCTGACCAACATGAAAAAACCCCATCTCTACTAAAAATACAAAATTAGCCAGGCATGGTGGTGCATGCCTACAATCCCAGCTACTCAGGAGTCTGAGGCAGGAGAATTGCTTGAATCCAGGAGGCAGAGGTTGTGGTGAGCTGAGATGAAGCCATTGCACTCTAGCCTGGGCAACAAGAACAAAACTCCATCTCAAAACAAAAATATAAACAAATCATTGAACTACTGTGTGTGTGTGTATATAAAATATATATATTTTTTTTTTTTTTTTTTGGAGCAGTCAGTACCCAGAGCTAATTTGGGGGAGGGGGAAGAGTAGAACCAGTGCTTTCACACATACTAGTATCACATTAGACCTTCCTGACAATCCTATGCACTAAGCACGTTACTTGCAGCTAGAAGAGTCACTGTGCTGTGGTATATGGCCCTCGGCACATGCAGGTTGATAGGACTTTTTGTAGGGGTGCATAAGCATAGGACTAGACATAAAATGTTCGTAGTGCATGTGGTTTATGTTGTAAGAATGTCATGGCCGGGCGCGGTGGCTCAAGCCTGTAATCCCAGCACTTTGGGAGGCCGAGGCGGGTGGATCACAAGGTCAAGAGATCAAGACCATCCTGGTCAACATGGTGAAACCCCGTCTCTACTAAAACTACAAAAAATTAGCTGGGCATGGTGGCGCGTGCCTGTAGTCCCAGCTACTCAGGAGGCTGAGACAGGAGAATTGCCTGAACCCAGGAGGCGGAGGTTGCGGTGAGCCGAGATCGCGCCATTGCACTCCAGCCTGGGTAACAAGAGCGAAACTCCGTCTCAAAAAAAAAAAAAATGTCATGACACTGCACTTGTGAGATAAAACTGATTTATTATTTGTTTCAGGTTATAAGTGCCATGGCTATGACGAGTGTCAAATTGCTTGCTGGTGTTTTAAGAAAGCCAGATGCCTGGACTGGACTCTGGAGTGTTCTCCGAGGGACACCTTCTTCACACAAACTCTGCACTTCCTGGAATCGATACTTGTATTTTTCTAGTACCAAGTTACGTGCACCAAATTATAAAACACTTTTCCGTAATCTTTTCTCACTGAGACTCCCAGGGCTTTTAATATCTCCAGAATATATTTTTCCATTTTCCATAAGACTCAAAAGTAATATAAGCTCTAAAAAATCTAAAAAGTCTCTGCAAAAAGTAGATGATGAAGAAGACTCTGATGCAGAAAGTGATCATGACGAGATGAGTGAACAGGAAGAGGAGTTTGAGGATGACCCTACTGTAGTCAAAGACTATAAAGACTTGGAAAAAACAGTGCAGTCTTTCCGGTATGATGTTGTCCTGAAGACAGGTCTAGATATTGGGAGAAAGTGAGTATGATACACATTTTATTATAAACTCACTCGTCTTGTTATTTTAATGCAGCATTACAAATCACTTGGCCCATATCATGGTGAAGAATAACCACAACAAAAGGACCTTTATAGGTAACCTGTTTCAATTATTTCATTTTATAGATGAGAAAACTGATTTCCAAAGAAGTCACACGTGACTGCCTGCAAATCCCATGTGCCATATTTCCTTGAATGTAAGACACAGTTGACTGTAAGATGAACCACTGATTTAATAACAGCTTCTTGAGGAGAAAATGAATCACCATATTAGATGTATGTAGCAAGCATAAAATGCATCTGGATATTTCACAAATGCTATAATGTGAGAAGGTACCTCTTAGAATTAACAGGATGACGTGTAATAAGATGATGGTTAAGAATGCAGGCTTTGGGGCCGGAGCGTTGGAGTTTTAGTCCTGGTTCTGCGTGACCTCGGGCAAGTTACTTAAAGTTCCTGTGACTCAGTTTCCTTATCTGTAAAATGAGGATAGAACCTACTTTAGAGAGTGGTTGCTAGGACTGAGTGAGTATATATCTATCTCAAGCACTTATAATCGTATCTGGCACATAGTAGGTACTCAATATGTGTTGGCTGTTTTAAAGAAAATACTATATATGTTCACATATAATAGAGGTGTTGAATATAACTTTTAAGATTTCTTTAATATTCTGATTCCCTCTCTACTAGGTTAATTATATAAGAATAGTGGGCCGGGCGCGGTGGCTCAAGCCTGTAATCCCAGCACTTTGGGAGGCCGAGACGGGTGGATCACGAGGTCAAGAGATCGAGACCATCCTGGTCAACATGGTGAAACCCCGTCTCTACTAAAAATACAAAAATTAGCTGGGCATGGTGGCGCGTGCCTGTAATCCCAGCTACTCAGGAGGCTGAGGCAGGAGAATTGCCTGAACCCAGGAGGCGGAGGTTGCGGTGAGCCGAGATCGCGCCATTGCACTCTAGCCTGGGTAACAAGAGCGAAACTCCGTCTCAAAAAAAAAAAAAAAAAAAAAAAAAAA